TCATATGTTAACATAGCTAAAACTTTAAATAAAATTTTGTTTATAGTTGTATGTAAATTTGTGATTGGTATGTTAAATATTTGAAGGTCATTTCTTTATTAGTAGCCTTAAAATCATGATATAATCTTGGATTTAGACTTGCATGTATAGTTTGTGCCATTAAAGAGATGATTAAAGATTTTATTTGGTTTGATTATATAACTCTTCAATCTGCCAGAAATTTGTACGAATTTTTAGACAATTTTATGCTCAAAATTTTGAAATGATTTCTTCTACAAAGTTGTTGAGAATGATGTTTAGTTCATCCAGAAATTTTCTTAACAATTATTGAGCTCGGTACGAATTTATAAAAATTTATAATTAAATCTGCTACTATAAGACAGATTTTAGTATATGTTTAAAAGCTTATTAAAAATTTTATATTAAGCAAAATCTGATAATTTCTAACTAAAATATGAAATTTGAGAAGTCTAATTTCATACTAAATTTTTAGACTGTGGATTTGATTTTCCTAAGGGTCATATAACTTCAATTTCATGTACATTAAAAGGAATTAGAAAAATGGTGTAGAATTGAATTAGATTCAAAATTATAGAAGTTAATTTGAAAATAACCCTTTTGGGTTTGAATTTATTTGTCTTATATGAAATTGAGTCATTCAAGTTCTTTTTGAAGAGATGAAGGAAATGTTTTAAGAAAGTCAAGTTTATGGAAATTTGGAATTAATCCTAAAGTTTTGATTTTATAATTAGATTTTTATTTAATCCATGCATGTGATGTAATTTAAGAATTTTATTCAATTTAGATACATTTTAGAACACCCATGATTATAAATCAAGTATTTGGTTAAGAATTGAGTTAAGTTGATTTTGTTATTAATAGTAAGATTGGATCTATTTGTATTATATACATCATGGAATTTCAAGAGGTTGGGAAGTCTAATTTATATTTTAGAATTGTGGGTTGATGTTACTAAGATGAATTAAAACTAAATTTAGGCAATTGGAACATGATTTTAAATGAATTGTTTATTTAAACTTTGTACAATTGTTTATTATTGTGTGACGTGTGTAATATTTTATGTTCGAATTTTTATGAGTTGGTATAACATTATTTGTGATAAAAAAAAAAATTGGAATTATTTGTGATTAATATCAAAATTAACTGAAAGGATTAAAGGCATATACAAAGTTAACAATTGACGGTTAATACCAGTTTTTAGAGTGAGTCTTGGTTTTAAAGAGTGTATGAAATCAAGGGATTGACGGTTAATACCGGTTGTTCAGGGTGAGCCCTGGTTTTGAGAATTCTCACGTAAATTGTGTTGCGAAACTCTAAGATGGCACGGGACTTATTTGAACCCTTTTCGGTATTTGGTTTTGGAATAAGGGTGGATGTGCTGGTGGCACACAGGGAGGTTACGTACCCCTGGCAGACCGTTTCCTTGGGGCAGACCACGGATGCCACTACTTGGGTATATAACTCCGGACGTGGGCATCCCTGGTAGTTACGGTTGGTAACACTTGAATATTTGACCAAGGGAGGGTTTCAAATTAACCGTTGCCATGCTTAGTGGTTGGTAAGTTAAATCTCTTTGGTGAGATTTCGAGTGTCACTTAATTTATTAAAATTATTGAAATTATTTTAATGGTTGTAATTTATGCTTACAATTATATTGTTACCTCATGTTTATAATCTCATTATTTTTCTCTTAAAAGGAATGGTAGGTTGGTTATGTGTTTCTTACTGTGTTGCAAAACTCATGGCATATATTTTTGTTGCCCTGGCGTTTTATGCCAGGTCTTGGCGAGAAAATAATTGAAGCTGAAATGGAGTCGACGCTAACGTAGAGCCTTGGCTGACCTGAAACCCCGAGTAGAGCCGAATAAATTATATTATTTTATATAATAGCTATTAAGGACTTTATAATTTCATTTGATGTTGTATTTGGATAATTTTAAGTTTTTATCTATTGTTATTTGGACGTTTGGTTATGTACGAGAGTTGGATTACCCTATTAAGATGTCAACTTTTTAGTTTATTAAGTCATTTTGTTTATTTAATTTCCCTTGATTAAAAGAAAATTTGGGCGTCACAGACACCTACACACGTGGCAAGCGAATGACAAGCCACATAACCAGACAAAGATCCGGTAAAGTTATTGCACTGCACATCAGTCATTAATGAAGGTCTTTACAGCATTTATTGCGATAAGCCCTCCCGTCGAGACAGAACGACCTCATCATGAACAAGGCAAGTTAGAGCATAGACTTTCAGCCATGGCGACAGGTCGGTAGGGACAACGAAATGATTACCAGAGGATATAAGCAGATGTCGAAGACAAGAAGAAGGTTAAGCTTTCTATCTCTAATCTATCTCTACATTTCATCTCTCTTTCTAACTTGCTCATCGGAGGGTTCGCTGGGGGACTCCTCGTTTCCCGTTGAACTCTTGTGCAGGTTCCTCTGTGGGCTTGGTCATTCAGACATTGATTTGGAAAACGTGGATCAGTCCGACCCGATCCATCTGCAACGGGCAGCATCATCATAAACATATGATAAATTGTAGATCTCCACATCTAAAAATTGTATGTTGTTATAAAGTGATAATTTTAATTTTTTTCTTCTAACAAATTACTCATTTACATGCACTTTAATAATTTTCAAATAAGCAATAAATTCGAAGATCAATTCTATTACTTGTTCTTATATCATATTAATTGTTTACCACTAGGCCACGTTTGATTCCATAAAAGTTTGTTTTCACAAAAAGAATTACATTTTGACTATTTAAACTAAAATATTTTGATTGTTTGGTTTTGACTTATTTAATAAACAAATGAAGGGAAGCAAAAAATAAAATAAAATAAAATAAAATAGAAGGACCCCATGATCAAGAAGTAACTTTTTTTTTGAATTTTTTTTTTAATGTTTTTATTATTATATATTTTTCATGTTTATCTAGTTTAAAATTATTTAAAAAGTAAAAACAATTGAAGAAATTCAACAAAAGAAAAAAAAAATCATAAAAACGAATAAAAAATTCCAAACTCTCACCTAAACTTTTTCAATAACAAAAAAATATTTTTTTAACATTTGTCAAAACATATTTATTTTTTTAATAATAACTTTATCCTCAAAAATGAAAAATTTTGAAAAGAGATAAGTAATTTTTTTTTCCAAATCAACCTCTAAAATGTGTGGGAAATTATAAAATGTTAATGTTGTAATAACTTTATAATTATATATATATTTATTAAACAACTCACCTCATAAGCTCATGATAGCCTTCATGCGGAAACCAAACTGGTGTTGTTGGTGGTGGTGGGCGTGGGGCTCAAACAAAACTAAAATAACCACTTTGACGGAAGTGCCTATATGGAGAGTCTATTTTACATCATTTTCCCTCGTAATTGTCTACAAATATTTTAAGATTTTTATTTTCATCTACTTAAGCCTATTTTAGAAAGTGAATTAAAAATTACTTTTCAACTTTTAACTCACTTCTTTCTCTCACAAAAAAATTAAAAAGTAATTTTTAATTATCTTTTCAAAACACTTTTTAGATGTATATATATTAACTTTTTTTTCGTTTGATAATTTTAGGAGTGTTTTGGGAAGTTGGTAAAAAATTAATTTTTTGACTTTTTTAATTGATTTTGTCTTTTTGTAAGTAAAAAATATGAGAAGTGATATGATCCAAAATAGATAAAAAATTAAAAATTAACTTTTTATTTTCTTCCCAAAAACAAATATACTTTGATTCTTAATACTTATCGTTCCATATTTTCAATATTGTTACACTATTTAAAACTTTGATGGTAATTTGGTGTTGTAAGTTTAACTCTCACACGATTTTGTAATCAAAAGTTGATGAATTCCAATCTTAAGGCTGGTCTTTCTGTCCAATAATCTTGACAAATTAATTCTTTATCACTATGTTTTTCCCATAGGGTTGGGATGTTAGGATAGTTCAAGTGAATCTTAAGTACACTTATTAATCCTTCATGTGTGGTACTTTATGTTGTAGAGCCGATTTCCTCTGTCCAACTCTCAATGAGTAGAGGTCTAATGGTCATGCTTAAGTTGTTACTAACACATAACCACTCTTACTAATACTTATACCGATTGTCGGCATACTACATAGTTGTTTGTCTAGTGAACTATTGAAAGACATATTACCATCTTATTTGAAAAATAAAAGACATAGTCATCATGTATCTTTTATTATTATATGACATATTTGTTAGAACTATTGGATAATTATTCGTGTCATACTGCTAATTGTTAATAAAACTACACATGTGCTTAATTTTTTTAAATACATAAAGAAAAATTTTATTCAGTATCTTTGTGTTTAATGATAACAAAATTTAAGTAAAAAGAATGTATAGGTATAGCATCCATCACTCACAAATAAAAATGGAGGTCCCATTACAGGAGACTTTTGGGTCCCCAGTGGATTAATCACTCATCACTTTCCAAACCATTGTTGAACCCAAAAATTCACCATTAGTGAATGGCAAGACCAATCTTTTTGAAGATGATGGCAGAAAAAATGGAAATCACACTTTTGTGCTTAATTGATGGCAAAAGAATTTTTTTTTTTTAAAATGAGAAGGGGTTATGATGGCCCTGTAGAAAAGGACTTTCAAGTCTCCAATGGAGCACTTGCCAAAGCCAAGCATTTGATATCTAATGGATACCAAAATGATTTGAATTGTTGAAAAGCAAACAATCAACCAATTTAATGGTTAGTATGACGTCGAGTTGTTCTTGGGATTGTTCTTGTAAAAATATTGAAGTATATTATTGATTGATTGATATTGTTACAAGATTGTTGTCTATTGATCTGTATATTACAAGTCCTATATATAGAGAGGTTTTGGGAGTAGTAGGTGTAGAGTGGGTGGTGGTAGTGGATGGTAGTGGAGGTGGTGGGTGGTAGTGGAGTGAGGGGATTCTCAATCACTTCTTCAAAAGAAAATTAGGAATATAATAATGTTGATCAATTTTATAAGGTAATAAAAAAAAAATGAAATGAATTATTTAATTTATTTTATGATTCTTCGTTAATGAAAAATATCAACTAAAAATATCATGTAACACATCAAAATGAATAATTCATTCATTCAAAAAAATATTCAGATTAATATAATAAATGTGATGATATAATTTTATCATATTTATTTTTAAAAAAAAATTAAAATTATTTTTAAAATCAAAAAAATTATTTTAAAAATCTCATTTATTATCTTTTTTTATATTTATTTTAAAAAAGAAAAATGTGATGAAACCATATAATTACTATTATCAGATAATATGTTTTTTTTTTTTGCTAGATGATTTATATAGAAAATTTTAAAATACTTTTTTGTTTCTCAAAATACCTTTACACATTTCACCATATTCCAATATGATTTTTACACATTTTTTTCACACGATCTCAATATAAATTAGCCGAATGATCAAAATAAGTCCATAGTAAACCCGTACACACCAAACTTGTCAGTGTGTCCTTCTTGAGGATCAGAAATAAGTTGAATAATTTCAAAATCAACAATGATTCATCCCATTAAAAATATCATTACTAATAGCACTAATGCATTAAAAAAGTAAAAAAAAAAAAAAATACAACTCCAAGACCAAAACATCACATCATTAATGCCGGGATCCACTGCCACCTAATTAGTGGGAGCACTAATTAGTGCTCCTAAACATTTTTCTTTCAAAATTACCTAATAATTTTGAGAGGTTATTTGATGATTTTAAAATAATATTCTAGACTATTCATCACATAATACCCACATATTTTGTAACAACACAACATTAACTTATCCCAAACTTTTAAATAATTTTCAATAATTTATTATGTAAAATAATTCATTCACCAAATTTACCGTCACTTAAATTATCTGAATTTGTGTCAATCGGATAATCTAAAGAACGATTAATTTTACACTAGTCTATCACAAGCGTTATCAACGTGTGCTACAATTGTCACCTTATCATCCCAACAATCGGTATAAATAAATTCAGGAAAACACCAAATTCGATTAATGTAGCCGGCTGAATTTTCTATGGTGGAGAGGGCAAGGGGCTAGAATTTCGACAACCTTGCTCAGTGACCAAACTTTTTTTTTTTTTTTTTTTTGGTCCTCTCCACTTATCCCCACATCACGTGACCCCACTCACTCTCTCTCTCTCTGCCTGCAACTAAGGGGTGTTCTGCAACCAAGGCCACTGAAGCTCAAACTAGATCAAGATTCAGATCTCCCATATCTACCCACTTCCATTACATCACACAGTACACTCCATTACCTCATCCATGCCTCCCCCTCCACCACCACCACCACCACCACCACAGTCCTCCGCATCTCTAGATTGCAATCCCTCTTCCTCCTCCTCCTCCTCCTCCTCCTCATCTCCGCCGCCCCCACGGAGGCTCTCACCTGCTCAAACCTCCAATCCACAGCTCAAAACTCATGTCCACCCTTCACTTCCACTCCCTCTTTCCCCTTCTCTTCCTCACCAGGCTGTGGCCACCCCTCCTTCCAAATCCAATGCTCTTCCCCACACTCTCTCATCACCATTAACAACCTCTCTTTCTCTCTCCTCCGCTTCGACTCCAACTCCACTCTCATCCTCTCTCCTCAACCCACCACCACAACCCCATCTAATTGCACCTCTGCTCACTTCCTCTCCGTCCCGGATCGACCCATCAATCTCTCCGGCTCCCCATTTCGAGTCTCGGACTCGTCCTGTTCTCGCCTTTCTGTTCTCAAACCATGTCTCCATCCAAATCTCCCAAATTGCAGTCACTGTCCTTGGGATTGCCAGCTCATCAAAACCCCAGTTCAGCTCTTACACGGTTGTGGATCTAGGCATCATCAAGTCTCGGAGCAAGGCTGCCAAAGCGACATTCTCGGATTTCTCGACAAGTTCTTGTCTTTCGGGATTGGAATCGAGTGGGACGAAGACATAGACGCTTATTTCTCAAATTGCAGAGCTTGCCAGGCCAACAATGGAGTCTGCGGCTTCAATTCCTCCGACCCCAAAAAGCAATTCGTATGTTTTCGATCTCACAATCAAATCTCTCACCCATTGATTCGTCAACACGGCCCAAGTCGAACGGCAATGTTGTGTTCGATTTTTGTGTTCATGTGTTTGTTAGCTGTTTTATCAATTGCTTCTGTAATTGTCCGATCAAGAAAAAAGTCATCTCCGGCGGCGGAGGAAGAAGACCCAACAATCCTCTACCTCCGCCGCCACCGCGCCGCCAGCCTCCTCCCTCCGGTATTCACCTACGAAGAGCTTGAGTCCTCCACCAACCGGTTCGACCCGAAACGCAAAATTGGGGACGGCGGGTTCGGGTCAGTCTATCTGGGTCAGCTATACGACAACCGAATCGTCGCCGTGAAACACCTCCACAACCACCACCCTACCGCCACTGCCTCCGCCGGAGCCAGAGCTTTCTCGGCCAAATCGTTCTGCAACGAAATCCTCATTCTCTCTTCGATCAATCACCCAAACCTAGTCAAGCTCCACGGGTACTGTAGCGACCCGAGAGGTCTGCTCTTAGTCTACGACTACGTCCCAAACGGAACACTCGCCGAACACATTCACGGCAACAAAAGCTTGTTCCGAAACGGGTCGTTAACATGGCAAATCCGGGTCGATTTAGCTTTACAAATAGCTATGGCGATTGAGTATCTTCATTTCTCAGTTGTGCCTCCGATTGTTCACAGAGATATAACTTCTTCGAACATTTTTGTGGAGAAAGATATGAGAATCAAAGTGGGTGATTTCGGGCTTTCGAGGTTGTTGGTGTACCCGGAAACGAATACGGGTCCGCAGGGGACACCGGGTTATTTGGATCCGGAATATCATAGGTCGTTTAGGTTGACAGAGAAGAGCGATGTGTATAGTTTTGGGGTGGTGTTGTTGGAATTGGTGACGGGGATGAAGGCGGTGGATTGGAGGAGGGAGAGGAGGGAGGTGGGTTTGGTGGATTTGGTGGTGGGGAAGATTCAGATGGGGTTGTTGGAGGAGGTGGTGGACAAGGTTTTGGTGGCGGAGGGTGGTGGTGGAGAGGTGCTTGATGGGGTTGGGGCGGTGGCCGAGCTGGCGTTTAGGTGTGTGGCGGCCGATAAGGATGACCGGCCTGATGCGAGGGAGGTGGTGGCGGAGCTGAGAAGGATTCGCAACCAAATACGCGGCTGCGGCTGCGGCTGCGGCGGCGGAGGTGGAGGTGAAGGTGGAAGTTTGAAGGGGGCTTCGGAGGTTGGTTTAGGGTAGAAAAAGAGGTACGAGTTTCGAGACCTGGTATTGGAGGGTTTTTTTTTTTTGTCTGTTGTGTGTGTGCGCATAGGCATGTGGGGTTTTGACTCTTGACTCTTTGACTGACAAGTTCATTATGTATATCAATGAGTAAAAAAAGAAGCCGCAAGTAAATAGTAGCTCTTCTTCTATTTATCCTTTGTTTTTTTGTTTTTTTTCCTCTTATTTATTACTTTTGTGTCCTGTGTATTCAAAAAATTGTTACGATCAACCCCTCAACTCTAAAATATGTGTGTTTGTGTTTGTAAATCAATGGTTACCCCAAACCCTAGTCGAAACCATTCATTTGTGCAAACAATGAACTTGAATAGTTGAATCTATTTGAATTTGTCACATGACTGCATAATTTTTCATGTAATCAGGATCGTATAAATTATTCGTTGTGATTTAAAAAATTATAAATGTTTCATTATTAGAATTTTTTATTTAACAGAATTAATTAAAAAAACAAAATTTATATTTGTTCTCATATACAATAATAAATTTACTTCAATTATTAATTAAAACATATTTATAATGTCATTAAAAATAGTTAATTGACTTGATAATTTATTAATAAAAGAGACAATTTGTTATAAAATTAAAACCCTCAAGGACTGTAATGTAATTTTTAAAACTACAGAAAGTGATTCATATTTTAATCAAATCACAAGGAGTACTTATAATTTACCCTAAAATTTATGAAAACTTCATAAAATTATTCAGGTCTAGTGTAATCAAAATAACTTGTTTTTGGAAAATAAATCGAAGTCATCAATGAAAAATGCTACAGAACCACAATTAAACCACAGAATACTCGCATCCTTGCTTGTTGAACCAACTATACCAACCTGGTTATGCTGAGTGAGAGAGAGGGAGGGGGGGTTTGCAATGTTTGCAGCAATGAGGATAGAAGTATGTTCAAGTGTTATCGTGTAAGTATTTGTATCTACAAACAGTAAACTAAATTTACATACAAAATTGAAAGATTTTATTACATCATTAATGTTCAACCTCTCAACAAATGGTAAAAAATGCGAGAGGTTGGACTATCATACATATATATATATGTACCAGTTTTACTTGAAGTAAGCAGTCTCCAAATACTTTGCCTTCTCTCCAACAGTAGTAGCTTCCGGCCTCCCTACCATGGCATAACCTCTCTCCTGAATCAACAACACAACAATGTATATCCAATGACATGTTTGCATCGGCCACACACTAAATATTTTAAAGCTAAAAATAACTCTTGATAAAAAAAGGAAGAGATGTACCAGTAGGCGCCACATGAATGGAGCACCTTCCCTCATCTTTATGCGCTTCCCAATGACTTCGATTGCTACACATGAAAACAACCCGGTGAGAAATAAACCATCGTGGAGTTCAAATGAGAAATAAACCATCATGGAGTTCAAATGAGATTATGAGACAAGAATAAAGAATGTACCCTTAACAGCTTGTCCAGTATTCAGCAGCATAACATACCAAACTTCGTTGAAGACATCAAGTTGTTCATCAGATGCGCCAATTGTCTAGCATAAAGAAATAAACCCACATGTTTTTTCCCCAAAAATATATGAATTCAGATTAACTATAAATATTCATAGAACTTAATTTCACATTATTCATAATAGTACCTTAAAGTTGTTGGCTTCAAAATCTGGGCCAAGCAATTCCAATGCCTCTTTGTAGTTGCCTTTTCCATACTCGTATACAGCTTCTGCAAGCTGAGACAAAAAAGGCGAAGCACCGTTCAATTGGCAATTAAAGGTAAATATAATTTCTTAATAAAACTTGTATACTAATGATGTGGCCTCTTATGGTCCTTTTATCTCAAACTAAAACACCCATCATTGTAGCTTATAATTTCAAGAATACCACTGTCACATCATTTCGGTTGAAGGGTTTGAATAAAAATTCTGTTTCTTTAATTTTCCTTCAATTAAATATCTATTCTAGCCTCTAAGGAAAAATCGTTGGTACAGAAGCTTTTGATGAAAACAGAAACGGGGATTAAAAAAATCAGCCAAAAGGCCTGAAACATTATTATCATGGAGGCAAAAGAAAACAACAGAAACAAACCAGCATTCCACTCTGCATTGCTTGCTGCTTCTTCTTGCTCATCTTAGAAATTCTACAAAAACAGAACAAAATTATGGGATTGCACGGCAAGAGAGAGAGCAATGTTAAAGAAAGCTAAATGCTGAATATGTGCGAGAAACTAAAGAGGAGTTCGGCAAGATCCTCCTAACCTGAATCTCAAGCCCTTGAGTAGATCTTCTCCTTTATCAAATGCTCCAGTTGAAGCTAAGGCCCACAGTATCAACACATCAAGGTGCCACTCCAAATACCAAAAAGCCTAAAGATTGTTACGATATACAGTAAATGAGAGCTATTAGTCAAAGTACATCCCACATAAATGCTAGCACGAGGTTTTAACCATCAAGAAAAAGAGGAAGACACATGACATGAGCAATTATAAAGTAGTAACTTGTGCAAACCTTAAAAACTGATTGATAAGCAAATGTCAAAAGCCATAATACACACATATGGGAACAAATGGAGGACCTTTAAACTTCTTGTGATAGATATGTATTATGTATGTATTAAAAGGTCTTGCATTCATCGGCACAACACGTTTCTGGAAGTTACTCCAATTGGTTATGGCAGGAAGTAATATTGCATGAGGTTCAAAAGGAAACCTGAAAGTGCCAATCCTGATAGCATATAGACCTAAATAATTTTCACTGGACAAACAATCTAAAATGCCTATGGAACAGTTGCCCAAAACAACCCATGGCACTTCAATTTTAATCCCTCAATCTTTTAAATAGAAATAAGTCCCTCATAAGCTGCTATAAATAGGAACATATCTTTCACAATTAAATGTCTTCTTGTTCTGAAAAGAAGGAAATAACAAACTATGTTTTCTAACTCACTTGATTTGTCAGATAACCTGCTAAGATCTTAAGACGGTCTCCGAAGAAGTCAATTTCACCTCGTACATACACCCGCAATAACAAACCAATCGCATTTAAGTACACCTAAATACAGGAAAAAGATAGAAATCATCAGTAAATAAAAAAATGAGTCGAGTGGAAGAGAATACTAATTAATACACCTCGGGCAACACTGCATCACTTCTTTCCAACTCCTTCCAGATACAGTTGTCATAAACCTCTAGAACTTTTCTCATTGAAGAATGACCTTCTAAATAACAAAGCGCTACATGCCACCAATTGTGCGTGTACCTAAAGGTTAAATTTGTTTAGCCATCTAGAAAATATAAAAACACAACTATGGAAACCTTTTTTTTTTCGGTTAAGTACTGCAATTATGGAAACTTGCAATAAAATTTTATGTACGTGACTTGAATGCATACATAAAAGATGACAAAGAACTCCATGATGTTGAACATTCTTCCATGAACTCCACTGCTTCCTTGAAACGACATTCATACTGAAGGACATGGCAGAGCTGCATAAAAATGTCATAATCATGAGGGCCAAAGGGAGTTATTATGTCCAAGAACGGACATGCCACATGCAAAATATATTGTCTTACATATTTATTATAAGTCATATATATGAATATTTCGTTTAAAGATAATAAAATAAATGTAACATAACACTAATTCTCAAAGTTTAAAGGATGAGGGAATTGTAAGTATAATCTACATTGTTTTTCTTTTACCATTCTATCCCTTAGTAGTAGGAATCGTCTCAGATGGTGACGACTCTGAGGAAGGAGCGCAATTTTGCGCTTCTGAGGAAGAAGCGCAGCAAAATTGCAAATCTGAGGAGAGGGAAACACGAATCTAATGTGAGAAGGAAGCACTCTTGAGAAGGCAAGGAGAGAACCTGGTCGTTGGCTTCAATCCTCTGTTCGACGACTTTGATCTCACGCCCTTTGACTTCCCCTTCGAATTCGATGAGCGTGTCGTGGCCCCTTCGACTTCAATGAGCACTACCATAGACGAGCTTCGATCTATCTTCACTAGCTTCATCTCCGATGATCTTTGATCTCTCTCTCTCTCTCTCTCCTATCTATTTTCTCCTCTTCTCTTCTCTTCTCTCTGTTTTCTTTTCTCTTCTCTTCTTTCTGATTTATAATCTATTCTCTCTTTCTCTCTCTCAAAAGATATTTACTTAATATATATGTCAATTATAATATATATATATATATATATATAAATTAAAAATATTATCAATAAAAATAATAAATATATTTAAATAAAACATAAATGTTGTTTTATTAAATAAAATATAATAAATTTTATTCAAAGATAATGACTAGTGTTCTAAAAAATATCACTTCACTACTTTTATTTGTTATTCATTTTTAAAAATATTTTTTATGTTATATTTAATTAATTAAATATTACATAAAAATAAAATTTTTCTAACATATATATGTTAATTAAATTATTTTTTTTAAATGTTTATATAGATAAATTAAAAATATTTCAATAAAAATAATATATAAGCGCTCCCAAATTACGACTCCTTTACATGGCCACGCTTCCCCGCTCCCGCTCCCCGCTTCGTGCAACTTAGTTCTATCCTTGAAGTTGTTTTGTCAAACTTATAATTTGTTCCATACTAGTGTTCTAAAAAATATCACTCCACTACTTTTATTTGTTATTCATTTTTAAAACATATTTTTTATGTTGTATTTAATTAATTAAATATTACATAAAAATAAAAAATATATAACATATATATGTTAATTAAAAAAAAAAATGTTTATACAGATAAATTAAAAATATTTCAATAAAAATAATATATAAGCACTCCCAAATTACAACTCCTTTACATGGCCACGCTTCCCTGCTCCCGCTTCGTGCAACTTAGTTCTATCCTTGAAGTTGTTTTGTCAAACTTATAATGTGTTTCATGCATGTTTAAGAAATGGACACGTGTGTCTCCCAAGTCCAAAGCATGTGTTGGTCTAAATTTTTTTTTAAAATAATATGTGTTGGGAAATATCCAATTAGTGTTGTCCAACAAGGACACACTACCACCTTTATAGAAGAGTATCTGGTTCTTAGATTATGTGTGCAATGGATAGAAATTTTGAAAAAATAAAACCAAAAGAAAAAACTAAAACCAAAGATCCTAATAGGTTTTACTCACACAATGTTGTGCCCAACTGTCTTCCTTGTTGATCTCAAATCCCTTTTTTGCTGCTTCTTCTGCATCGGCCATTCGGCCAAGCTCTAACAAAGGAAAGGCAAGCATTCCATATATGTAGTTTTCTTGTTGATTTTTGGGAAGAACCTGTCAAATTGAAAATCATAATAGAATATAATCAAAATAAGAGCACTGAAATTCTCAATGGAACTGAAATTTAAACCAGGCCAGACAACATGTGTATGTGTTGCTTCAACGTGATGTGTTGATATATTGGTAGAAGATCATTGTTTTAGATAAGTGTGCATGTTTGATCATCAATGCATGAATAAACTTCATTCTTAATAAAATGGAACCTGTTGAACAAGATCCAAAGACAGATCAGATCGACCCATGTAAAAGCATAGCACTTGAACCCTCTTCAGAGATACCAAATCCCTTGGGAAATCTTTTAAAAGCTGCAAGAACATAAACATTAGCTAAAGAATGGTTACATTTTGTAAAAGCAATGAAAAACAAACTTCAATACAAGATCCTTATTGCTTCATTCTTTTTATACCAAATATAATGAACTCCTAAATCCTAGGTCGTAACTACAAAGAATGTGATATTTGTACCGTGGTATTCTCAGTGATAACAAGGAGAAATTTTTTGACTTTTATGAAACCATCTCTGACCAAACCTTTGAACTCCTTTTGGAGCTCATGAAAAAGTAAAGAAATTTTAGGAAAATGCTCAGAAATGTGATAGAAAACAAGATGCTTCACTTCCAAAATCAATTTCTACCACGGGCTCCTAATTGCTGTGATCTTGGTCTGTGTATTCTTAGCAGTTTAAGATTCCCCAAAAGGAGCACCCAATCAAATGTTTATAAAAGCTCAGAGAGTTTAAATCAAGGTTGATCAGACTATTCCATGGACATGAAATTATTTAACCAAGCCATGACATTTGAGATTGTTCTTTTTTTTGAAAAAAAAAAAAAATTTGTCTTCTTAATGCAACAATTGAATTTAAGGCTAATTATACCATGACCCCCCGAACTATTGCTAAATATCACTTTATCCATCATCTATGAATCCGATGTACATTTTAACCCCCTTAATTATAAGAAACTGTACAAGTGTCTACCGTTTGAAAAGGGTGAACATTTGTATAGTACAGAGTCCAAATGTACAGGTCAATAGATGAGCAATGGAACATGAGGAGACATTGGCAAATCTCGTGTGGTTAGTATAGATGGCAGGAGATTGCTTGTAGACTTGACTGTTTTAGATATGCAGGACTTTGACATAATTCTTGGAATGGATTGGTTGGCAACCAATTATGCTTTTGTTGATTGCCGAGGCAAAAGGGTAGTATTTCAATTTCCTGATCAACCAGAATTTTGTTTTGTGGGTAGTGGAGTTAACACTCTTCCTTTGGTAATCTCAGCTTTGCAAGCTAGACGATTGTTGAGGAATGGTTGTGAGGGTTATTTAGCTTCTGTGAGAGATATTCGTGAGACTGAATTGAAATTAGAGGATATTCTAGTTGTAAAGGAATTTCCCGATATTTTTCCTAACGACTTACCAGGGTTGAAGTAACCTTTTTTTTTAAATTTTTTTTTTTTTTTTTTTTTTTGAATATCAAGAAACGGAGCACCAGAGGGATTGGAAGAGGAGAGGAATAGTTGTTGTTCAAGAAATGGAAACGTAATTTAAAAAAATAAATAAATAAACACAGAATGAAAGAGAGTGTTACGAGTCGAGCTTTGGCAGCTTGGAGATGAGAAGGAGCACGAGAAGGATTGGAAGAGGAGAGGAAATAAGCAGCGAATATGTTTGCTAAAACACAGTGTGGATCGTGGACCGGAGCTTGTAGAATTACGGATCGGTCTCTTCCATAGGTCAGTACCTTCATTAATTAATAATTTCGAATTACATATCAATTTATAAAGATATCAAAAATTACACAAAATACATAAACAGATGAGGCAAACCTGGTGATAGTAGGAATTGATTGCAGAAATGCAAGCATCGGAGGAGGTGTTCACCTCGTAACCCCATCTATCCAACTTCTTCATCTGCTTTCCACACTCTCACTCTCTACAACTCTTTCTCTCTCTCTCTACAACTCTTTCTCTCTCTCTCTCTGTACTGTTGTGTTGTGTTGTGTTGTTGTGTTGTGTGAAAGAGAGAGGAGGAGGGTGCGTCCGAGGCGTCGCGTAGACACCGAACTCAAATGGGTGTCGTTTTTTAATGAATTTTGAGGGATGATTTTTGGATTATTTCTTTGGCAGTGAATTTTGCTTCCCTCTTCTCTCACATGAAATCTAGAGTCCACCTTACCGTTTCCTTCGAAGTTTTGGTTAATTATTACAAAGGGGAGGTTTGTTTGGCTAACTCATTTAGGGATTAGATTGCTAATGAGACCATCTTATTTGTGGCTTGTTTGGTAAATTTCATATTTTATTGGATTATTGTTTAATATGATTGTCAATGATGTATGGTAATGGGTTTACTTTTTTTTGGGAAAGTATGGGTTTAAAATAATAGTAAAGGAATCGAAAAAATAAGTACATTTTTTTTTTTATTCCAAGTGCAGCTTATTATTTGTAAAAAAATTATATTTGTTTTAGAATATTTTTAACATAGAAATATATTTTTTTTATTTTATATAAAAATAATGTAACAATCTATAACCAATAATCTCTCCTACTATTATCAAAACAAACACACTTTTAGTAATCTTCACATTAATAATCTCTTCACTAACATCTTCTCATTAATAATCCCCACATTATTTCATTTTGACTTGCTTGGGAAAATGATTTGATTAAAATAACTTATTAAAATATAAAATAAATTAAAATAGTTACTAATTATTCCATTTTAGCTTGTTTGAGAAGATGATTTGATTAAAATAACTTGTTAAAATATAAAATAAATTAAAATAGTTACTAATAAAATAAGAATAAGGTTCAAATACATTTCTTGAGATTTGTTTAGAGTACAGATTACCCCCTATGGTTTAAAAAAAAAACAAATACTCCCTTATTAGAATTTTTTATTTAACAGAATTAACTAAAAAAATAAAATTTATAACTGCTTCACTATACAATAACAAAATTACCTAAATTATTAATTAAAACATATTTCTAATATCGTTAAAAAATGTTAATTGATTTAATGATTTATTAATAAAATTAGTGATTTGTTATAAAATTAGAACCTTGGGGGGTAGAATACAATTTTCAAAATCATAAGGGGCAATTCGTATTTTAATTAAACCTCAGGAGGTGTATTTGTACTTTACTCAAAAAATAAAATGTCATATCTAATTCATAATCATTTTATTTTTTCTTTTACAATCATCAAATCAATTATAATAAATAAATATATTATCAACTTTCCAAACATAACTTTTTTAACCAGACTAAAATGATCAAAAAGTCAAATAGTCAACTAAAACAACTAAGCCGTGGTTTGGCATTCTTTTTTGGACTAAATAATCACAAAATGACAAAATTGACTACAAAAGCTAATGAGACAAAATACTAATTTTTACTCATAATCATTATATTTTTTCTCTCACAAAAGTAAAAAAACACCCCAAAACAAAAACCAAATGAGGCTAAAAAAGGTCTCAACACAAAAAAGTTAACAATATTAGCCAATGCCAAACGAACCCTAAAACTTCCCAAACAAGGCCTTTATGATCCTTTCCTTCTAAAATATTAATCATTTTTTGAGAATCTAAGGTTGCATTTGGTAGAGTTTTCTAACTATGATTTGAGAATATAAGTTGTATTTTGAGTTTATGAGTTTTGGAATTATAATTTGAGTATAGAAAATTTATTTGGTAAATGAGTTTTAAAAAGAGTTTTGAATTGAGTAGGAAAATTTTGATGTGACATATAATATGTGATACAAAAACTTATAATTCATAACCAAACACACAATTTAAAAATCTATGAAAAGCTTATAAATTTTTTTTTAAAGATTCCAAAAATATTGTTTTATTAAAAATATTTTTAAAAAAATAATAGTGCCAATTGCAAAAAAAAATAAAATAAAATAAAATTCGCATTGTTCAGGACGTCCGACGGGTCAACCAGTGGGATGATCGGCCGGATGTCCAGTGGGACGACCGGTTAAGCCAAATATCAAAAAAAAAAAAAATCCTGCCTGACACAAAGTGTTTTCTGCAGAGTTTTTTGTTTAGTGTGGAAATATGATTTGAAAATCCTATCCACACATGATATTAGAATGTGTGGGTAGAATTATAATTTAAAAATACAACCAAACAGAGTCACTTTTTTTTTATAGTATAATTATTATACTTTAAAAATATTAACTTTTCAAAACTATTTTTAATAGTGCAATTATTACACTTAAAAAATATTAATGTTAATGTATTTAAAAGAAAGATTAAATAAAAAATTTATATTATTTTAATCTTTGATTTTTTTAAAACATATTTTGGGACGGAAGGAATATTGTTTTGGTATTAAATATTTTATTTATTTTAATTTCATCTCTAAAATGTTAAATATGTTTAAAGAACTCCCCCAACTTCAAAAATATCCCACATTTTTATTCATAATTGCACTTTTGTTTCAAAATTTGGGATATTTTTTAAACAAAAAAATAACTCCTCAACTTGATTCATAAATTATATATTTTATATTATTTGTAGTAGTTAATGTATTTTTCTTTGGGAAAAACTATGGTACATCCCTTTAAAAGATTTATACCATATGCACCTTATAAGTATAAAAGAAAATGATATAGCTCCATAGTTTCCAAGTTATAACTAAAAAAAATAAAAATAAAAATAATTAAACACAAAAAAATCAAAACAAAAAATCTCAAAATAATGTCATAATTAAAGAAGAAAATTGATTATAACAAAATAAAAAAATGACATAACTAAAAGTACATATGGTATGGAATATGTATAATAAAATTCACTTTTTTTTCTTCTTCTTTTGATTATATGTTGTTTTTGGAATTGACTAATTTAATTAATTTTTTTATTTATGAAAATACATAAAACAAAATAGAAAGAATAACTAATTTTTTTATAATGACGTTTGGGTTTTGTTAATAATGTAATAAATAGGCCTAACTAACTCCAATATCATAAAATTAAAAAAAATTAAAAAAAAAATAATGCAATAATTATATCTAGTTAAGTACTAAATTACTTTTTTTTAATTCTCTATTTTCATATTTATATATATATATATATATTTTTTTTTTTATTAATCAATAAATATATATATTTTTTGGCAACATGATATTTCAATAAAAACGTGAAGTTAGTTTTAGAATGTTGGGAAATGAAAAGAAAAAACAAAAGAGACAAAACAAAAAAGAATAAATAAATAAGGATATTTTAGCCACCTTAATTTTTTACAATCAGATAGTTATTGCATTTATTTATTTATTTTTCCACAATAGTAGAGTTAGGCTTATTTTTTTTCATCCTTAACAAGTGCGGCATTTGTTAACAAAACTCCTGACTATTAAATATAAAATCCTTAAAATATAAATACTAAATATAAATAAAAATTTTTTTGAATTTTTTAAACAATTTTTTAAATACTTTTTCCGCGATTAATTTTTGAGTATCTATATCTATCTATATATTATATAAGAAAAATGGAGTTTCTAACCCACAAGCTTTGTGAGAACTCCAATATTTTTCAATCCTAATTTTCTAATTTTTTGTTTTTGTTTTTTTTTTAAACTTAACCTCAGCATTTATTAACTTCTCTCAACCCACAAATTTTTTTACTTCTATCATAATTACTGCAGCACCATTTTAAAAACAAAAAATTTGTATATTAAAAAAAATTAAAATAAATATAAATATCTATATCTATATCTATCTATTTATTTATATCTATCTCTAACCCACAAATTTTGTGGGAATTCCAATATGTCAACCTTAATTTCTTAATTTTTTTATAAAAAAAATTCAACATTTATTAAATTCTTCCAAATCTTTTTAACTTTTCCTATACACATCCTTTTTAGCTTTTCACATAATTATTGTAAACAGTGAGTCTCCTTTTTGTTTTCTCGTTCTTGACTTCTCACTTCTTCACTTTCAACTTTAGTGACCACGCATGCAAACAGTGAGTGTGAGTCTCCTTTTTGTTTTCTCCTTCTTCACTTCTCTTTTTGTTTAATGTTTTAATATTGTAGTTGCATAGCGCATAAAAATGTTTGTGATTTGTCTAGCGAAAAAAAATTATAATTTAACTTTTTAATTTGATTGAAGTTAGATAAACACTCACAAAGAGAAAAATGAAATTATAATTAGTTCAATGATTCTATTTTTAATGTGATTGTAGTTAGTTCAATGGTTCTTTTTTTTCATTTATTTATTTTATTATGGGAAAAATATGTCGTGGTTGTAATTTGTTCAATGGTTCTTTTTTTTTAATGTGATTTAATTTTTTATTTACTGTTTTAATTTTATTTTTTAATACGATTGAAGTTAGATAAACATAAACACTCTTAAAGAGAAAAATGTGATTGTAGTTAGTTCAATGGTTTTTTTTTTAATGTGATTGTAGTTAGTCAATCGTTCTTTTTTTCATTTATTTTTTTTATTATGGGAAAATGTGATGTGATTGTAATTTATTCAATGGTTCTTTTTTTTAATGTGATTGTATTGTAGTTAGTTCAATGATTTTTTTTTAATGTGATTTAATCTTTTTATTTACTGTTTTAATGGTTCTTCTTTACGATTGTTTATGAAAAAAATATGAATGTAGTTAGTTAGATAGCATAACAATATTTGTGATTTGATTTGATTTTTTTGTGATTTGATTTTAATGTACCAATTATTGATAATAATTAGATTGTATTTTGAAAAAAAAAATTGTAATTGATTTTTTTAACTCAATGTGTTTTTTGAAAAAAAAATATTGTGTTTTTTTAACTATCAATTCACTTAATTTGTGGTTTGATTTTTAACTCACTGTGTTTTTTGAAAAACAAAATGGATTGCACTCATTAGAGTCACATAATGTACCAATTATTGATGATGATTAAATTTTATTTTTCAAAAAATAATAATTTGTAATTGATCTTTTTAACTCACTATGGTTTTTGAAAAATAAATTATTGTATTTTTTAATTATCAATTGACTTAATTTGTGATTAAATTTTTAACTCACTTGGTTTATTTTTTATTATGAGCAAAAATGTGAGTGTATTTTCAACTACCAATTGATGATGATTAGATTGTATTTTGAGGAAAAAAATTTGTAATTGATTTTTTTAACTCATTGTGTTTTTTAAAAAAAAAAAATTGTTG